CACACACACACACACACACACACACACACACACACACACACACACACACACACACACCAGTTTGTAGGAGACATTTCTCAGCAGCGTTTCCTGCAGGGCTCCCAGCAGGAGCGTAATCAGAGATCTCCAGGGAAGCGACTCTCTCCACATGACTTTTACCAGACGTCTCCATGGACCTGGGTCTTCTATTTCATCTGACGGGCCGACATGTTTCAGCTGCGACCTCACTTTACTGTCAAATACACTTTCACTCTTTTCTTTGCCCCCCGTGGCCGTGGTGCTGCTCCCATCTTTGTATTTTCTTTAAAGAGAGACAGTTTGTGACGAGAAGCAGGCGACAAACGTTGACGTTTTTATAGAAGAAATAAAAACGGCTCGACTGAGACTAAAACCTGATGTTTTGTTCCTGTATGTTTTCTAAAAAAGCCACAGCTTTATGAAGTCATCACCTCCTGCAGTGAAAGAAGTGCGAGCCTGCGAATGTGTGCTCGTTTGTCTGTTTGCTAACACAATATCTAATAAATTCTACGGTTTATCAACCTTAGCAAACATAACAATGTCAAAAAATCTGACAACTTCAAGAATATTGAGCTAAAATTTGGTGTGGTTGTAGCTGAGAGTTATTTCCAACACAAACTCTGAGCATTTCTGCAAGAAAAACAAATTTTATCCCAGTCTTTTCACAACAATGCCACAATAAATTCTGCAAAAACATAAATGTCTGAATGCAAACTCATTTTCAAGAAGTTATTTCAAAATAAAACCATGTTAAGGTTTAATATAATCTGTATAAATTTAGATTTCAAAATCAAATCTACTCTGGGAACACTGCTTTGTTGACTTCTTTAAAACAGAGTGATGTGTTTTCTGCCTCCTGTGCTCCACTCCGGAGTATTTCCTGTTGTATAAACACATCTCAGGTGATGTGTTTCTGCTTGAAGTGCAGGTGTAAACAGGAAACCTGAGCCTAAACGCTGATGTATCGTTTAAGATGTTTCAAAAACACAAATAACCTCATCCAGCTTCACGCTGTGTAATTATTTTACACGAGTACAGCTCATGTTTAATACAGAGCTGACACCCTGCAGGCTGGTGTTAAAAAGGAGGATATGAGTCATGTTTGGTGTTAGAAGTCAGCTGTGGCGGCCATCTTGGACTGGACTGACGTCAGCTGAAGTAATGAACAACACAAACCAATCAAACGTGTGAAAACAGGTCAGTCAAACTAAATGGTCTCTGCTCCTTAAAGACAAAAAGGTCCGTCCTCTTATTCCTTCTAATGACTCATCATTAATCTACTCCACCATCAGCCCCGCTGCTCCTCTGGACTCTTTGATTAACATTTTCCAGCTACTTGTATTATGGTCTGCAGGAAAACTCAATTATGACTGGCTGGAGGAGGGTGTCCATTAATTGAACTGAGCGCAGTAAAACCGCACACCTCTAATGCGACTTTCTCAACAATAAATTTAAATTAGAGCAGCTTAAGTGCTCTTTAATAGGATGGAATATAAATCTCACTCTGCACATCATTCACTGTTTTCTGAACTCCATATTCTGGGAAGACAGAAACACGACAGTAATTATCAAACACAATCCAGCTCTGAGTGTTTTTGACAGGGTTCCAGGAATTACACGGTACCAGAAAAACAGAGGTACGGCAAAGAAAAGGGTCTGGTTACTGTGGAGATTTTATGAGCAGTCAGTATCTTACCTGCAGTAGATGTCAGTGAGAATGATGACAGTTTGGAGAATCAGGCTAGCAGCTAATCAGAGCAGGAGCTGTTCATGTTTATGATGTTCAGAAAAACTCAAAACCTTTCCAGCAGTTCAAGCAAACACAATTATTTTTACACCGTGCCATTTTTGTAAGAAATATGTTTCTATTTTTGGCTATTTTCTAAACAAAACCACACTTGTGTTGTTAGCACCTTGTTGCGTCTCTACAGTTTGTCCTCTGTGTAATCTGCTTTACGCAGAAAAGGCAGATTATTTTAACTTTCACACTTACACTGCTAGAACAGACTTTTGTGCAGTTTTGTTGTTAGAATTTGAAAATGTTTAAATTATTAGTGCAACTAAATTTCTCTCAAAATAGAAACGTGGATCTCAATCCTCTCATATTATTTCGATAAAATTTGTAGTTCTACAGCTAAATACTGACATCTGTGCAGAAACTGGGCTTATGACAGAAAACAGAGGTTACAGCCCTGAATGTCTCAGTCTAAAACCCACACCAATGATAAATAATAAAATAAAAGCTGGTCCAAATCTGCTCATCTTCATTTCAGAAATATAATCCAACATTAAATCATAAACAAGGACTGATTAGGTGGGTACAAAGTGAACCAAGGTGGGTTCAATGTGAGCAACAAAAATCTGCAGGAAGCCTAGAAAAGGCCACAAAAAACAGGCAGTGATTAAAGAAAATTATTTCTCCAAACATGAAAGCAAAGCTTGCTTATGTTCAGTTGCCAACTTGTCTCCTATAGTCAGCCTGATGACAAACTAGCTTACACACCAACTCAGCTCTGTGACTACCTTTAACACCAGCTGAGAGGCTCAAACGTCACCAACACAACTCAAACTGAAAAACAACTATCTGTATAATCTGCTCATCTTTAGTAGCACTTTGTGACCTTAACAAATTCTGTTTTTATTAGTTCAACATGTCAAGCTGAATACTGTGTTGGTCCTAAAAAATAATAATAATAAAAAAATGAAATAAAACCTTCAGACAAAGAGGGAACTGGCACTTTCTTTAACAGATTATCAGGTGTAAAACCTTTTGGAGTGCAAGTCTTCAGATTATTTGAGGATAAAATAAAAGAGTTAGGTCTGAGCGATGATGCAATATTAATACATGCAGACCCCTCAAATCATAATAAGCTGAAGGGTGAAAAAGCAAAAATCACAGAAAGCTCCTTGGAGCCTCATATCTGCAGCACTTACTAAGTTTGTTAAAATGTTTCCCACTTTCTAACTGAACAAGAATTAAAATCTTTCAGGTTTCATGTAAAACTGTAACTTCATTTTGTTCTTTTCTCTACCTTCACGCTAATATTCTGACTGAAATAGATGCTTTCAGGGATGTCTGGTCAATTTGATGCAACACAAAATAATCTTCTACGTAACGATGTTACCTTCTTGGGATCAAGAATGTCCGTACTTTTGGGATTGATACCTGAGCTTCGCCACTCAGCTTCAGGTTGGGTCAAAGCTTTTAAGCGTGTGAGGAATTTCACAAAATGTCATCTAAACTGGAATTAAATCTTTCATTTTGTAAAATAACAGGGTGAGCCACCAATTAACTTCTCATTGTTCGGCTGTCTGCTGGTCTTCAGATCCAGAGAGGATGGCAGATTCGTCAAAACGTACCTCATCAAAAGGCATTTCCTCTGCAGGTACATGAGAGGTTTCTATGCCAACAGGTGTGTAGTTCTTCAGCTAAAGTGTTGCACTGACATTTAGCGGAGTTTTATTTCGGGGGCAGAAAAGCTCGTTGATGTAAGTTTAAAACTCTGGAATAAAAGGTGGTTTGTGTTCTCCAATCCTTCAGGGACTTTTATGATACAGATCAGGTTTTAGACTATTTACAGAGAATAAATATAGAATCACGTCAGTCACATCCACTGTTAACTCTGGTTTTATCTGGTTTTTCAGAGGCTGGATGAGCTGAATATTTGCAGTGCGGTTTTCTTTTGCACGGTTGCCCCAAAGATTGAAGGTTGGCATTTGCAAGGAGAAACAGAGGACTTTATTTAAACCACATGACAGATTAAAGCGCTGTGTTTTGAGCCCGTGAGAGGGCTGCGGGAGTGGATTATGTGTTATGAGAGCATGGGAATGGAGTGTCATTGAACTGTGACTGAACACCCTTCTGAAACCTGCCTACAAGCTGTAGAGCTGAAGCAAACTGATGTAACTCTAGATAATCCAAATGTGGAGGATAGCTCAACGACACCTGTTTGAAAGCTTTTACAAGGTAACTTTATGTGACCTGGAGGCTCAAACTTGTGTGTTAAATAGGTGGAGTTGTATGGAATAAATCTTGTGCCAGCAGGAACCGAATTTGAATTGCTCAAATTGAATCTGAACGCATTGGTTTGAAAATGAATTTCACTAAATTGAAACTGAATTTAATGGTTTGAATTTGAATTAATTGAAATGAAATGAAAGTTTACATTTTAAGCCTTAATTAAAAACCAATACACTAATTTTTAAGAATCCATTCACGAAATATCGCAACATTTCAGCGTATAAATAATTTCCTATACCTCTACCAATGAGCCGAGCGTTGGTGTTCTGAATGATGAGTCTCGGCTGCGCCCGTTTATTTGTTGCTCACCTCCACCCTTGTTAAAAGAAACTGTATAAACCCACCTCACCAGCGGGGTTTGTGAGTTTGTGTTGTGTTGAACGTACCGGTAGCTGTTTCTCCAGACAGTTGTTAAAGTTTTTCACTTGGTTGGGCTTCAGTTTCTTGAGGGGGATCCGTGTTTCCCCGATAAACTCGTTGTGGCGAAATTTGTCCTCATCACAAACTGAGATCCTGAGAGAAGAATGAAATAGATTATTAATTTATTAATAGCTCAGATCATTGTTTCCAGGTTAAATCGAGGCCTTGAAAACAATAAAACCTGGACGTAATCACTCAGGGGTCTTATTCTCACCAAAAGCTTCACTTTAGAGCTGAAACAGACGTCGTGCAGAGATGGAGCTCAGAGATTTGTCAGACCCCATCAGAACGACAGGAAGTGATGAGATAATTATACGTTAGGAGGCATTCAGCCTGATCAAAAGGCTCAAAGATTATATAAAAACAGAAACATTCAGATGAGAAGTCACTTCATTTAGCTGATTAACAACAACCCTTTTGATTATATCAAGATCAAATTTGATTTTTATCTTGAATTTGTCGAGTGCCGGTTTGAAAAGTAAAAACTCGGATTCAAGAAGAGCTTCYGAGTCCTCAAGTCTGTAAAAGTTAAAAACCACACGGAGAGAAGGGGGTCTCTGTGGTCTTGGGTAGTTTGGGTAAACTGTGATTGGTCGGATGGACTTGTGGTTGAGGCTAAAAGATGAAGTGATGATAAAATTATTGTAAACGTAAATATAATTTATTGATTTCAAATTTGGTGCAGCTTGCACCTTCCTGTCACAAGTTATGACTAAAATTTATTTTCCTCTCCCCAGCTGCCTTCACTCAAGCCACGCCCACACCTCAGTCTGACCAATCACAGCTCACACAAACTTTGGCTCGTGTTGCCAGCTCTGTGATTCTTTTCAGAAAGAATCTGTTGCATAAATTAAACTTGTTAAAAAGCAAAACATGTCTCACCGACTCTTTACCCTTTTCTTTCACTTCATCATGAACATTTCCTGTGTTTTTTTATTTTTTATCTCTTTTACTTTGTCTCCAAACTGTTGAACCAGGACCTGACCACCTCCCATCCTGTCAGTCGGTCACAGGAAAAGCAGCTCACGGTGCCCTCTCACCCCGTCTCTCCACGCAGATCCACATTCCTCTCTGCCGTTTCATTAAAGCTCTAATGGGAGCCGATAATTGGAGCTCTCAGCAGAGCGACGGCACGTCTTCAGTAAAKACAGAGAGCCGTCTGTGTGCAACCTGACGTGGTCCTCGCTAAGCCTGGTGGAGATGAAGCCTGCTTGTTTTGAGAGCTTTTTCTCTGCATATTAAGCAGCTTTTGTGCGTCCCGCAGCACGTTGTAAAAAGACTCATATGGGATGTAATCACGCAGACATCATTAATAATTACACTCATCAAATGGTGCTGAAATCATTTTACAGTATTATTTAAAACCCGGGCTGCAGGTCAGATCATGTTAGATGATGCTTCAGATCTTTATTGTGTTTCAGAGCAGCAAATCAGTGACTTAGTGAAACACTTGCAGGGTGCTGATATGATTTATTTTGAATTAAAGAAGATTTACATGAAGAGAGACCTTTTTTTTCTGGGGTCAAACAGTTTCTGGATAAAAAATAATAATAAAACTGTTGTTTGATTCATGAGCCAGGAAAATCTGTCAAACATTTCTGCTTCCTAGAAGAGATTTTCTTAACTCATAAATCGAGTCGAACAAGCAGAATATAAAAAAATGTTTTATTTTATACCTTCTCTTCATATTTCTTCTGGTGACCTTTGTTCTCYCCTCTTGTCGTCTTTGATTTTAGTTTTATTTGTCCTTTACTCTTTCATCAGCAGCTCCCTCTTTTCATTCCTCCTGTTTTATCTATAATTGTTCCTCATTCTTTATTTTTATCTTTTGTGTTCATCCTATTGTTTTTTTCACTTCCTTTGATTATAAACTTCCTAATTTTATTACTTTCCACAATTCACTCAATTTCTGCAACTAATTCCTTCTATTAAATGYTATTTCCCATTTACCTCTCCTCTAATTAATTTTTATTTCCTCTTTACTTTGCGTCACTCCTGCTCTGGTCGTTACCTGAGAGTTTTGCGGACCATATCCTCGTCAGTGATGCCGTAGTAGGTCAGCGTCTCGTTCCAGAAGGGGTTGAGTGTGTTGTGCAGAGTCTTGGTTCTGAGTTTGTTCGCCTGAAAGACACAGGAACACGTTTATAAATTAAGATTAAATCCCACCTCTGATGATCTTTAACTTTACTTTTTATCAACATCAAGGAAAAAAAAAACGTAGTTTTAAATGTTTTAGACGCTCGGATTGGCCACTGGCTTCACTCTTCTGAGATAAATGTCTCCCTGATCCTCCTGACCGAGTTCACTTCCACGTCTGTTTACCGCAGGTAAGATAATGACTGCTCATGACTTCTCCACACAACCCTGCTTCCAAATAACCAGCCTGTCGATGGACATTAGATCAGAAGAACGGTGCTAAGTGTTCACCGTGTGAAGGTCGAGCAGCTCRGAGTGGATCGTTAGCAGGAAGTGGAGACGTGGAGCTAAATTTCGGCTAACGTTCAGCGCGGTGACATAAAGTGACTCATGGGTCGGACTGGTAATAAACCGGACCGAAGYAGGCAGATCTCGAGGTGCGCTGGGGATTTTATCAAAAGTTTCTAAGCCTTGAAAAGGTTCTGAGTCCCATTATTACTACCTTAAACTGGACTGATGAAAGAAAGCAGGGAATTAAATAAATAATGAGGGCATCTGTGGCTTCTGTTCAGMAGTTTTTCACCCCCATCAGCAGCTCGCAGAACGAGGTCCGTGCTACAAATGAGCAACTGGTGTCATTATCACGTCAGCTGCAGAGGCTAAAAAGGCTTTGCTCCCCGACCAATTATCGCAAAAGTTTCCTCCTTTGAATTCCAGTTTGCCCCGCTCTAACTAGCTTTAGTTTTAAAAGCCTCCTCATACCTGAGATGGACAGGGTGGTAATGAGGCAGAAAGAGAGACGTGTGGGAGGAAGACTTGTTGATGTGCCGGAGCTCCGGCTGTGTTTTAAAAACGCAGATCTGTACAAAAACTCAGAAACACCACAATAAAAGCATCTTTTCTATGAATCCAATCAGTCTGATACACCAGTTCAGACATGTTGTCTGTAAATTTAGGTCAGAAAATCACAAATGTCATAAATACTGAGGTAACAAAATAGTCCTGACAGGTTCTTCTTTATTTCTAATAATCACTGTTGTCCTTCAGACTCTGCAGAGACAAATAACTCTTCTGACAACTAAAACAACCAGCTGAAATCCTCAGGTAAAAAATATGAAAATTAATACAGAGTAATGAAATTTATTTAAATGTACATCACTGCATCATTGTATTTTCACCCCGTTTTGCTCTTTTTTAAGCATTTAACTGCTTTTAGCTAACTTCCTGCTACTCTTGCTATGATCAGCTGACTTTTTGTTTTAACTAGCCTTTAATGTTTAAAGTGCCTGTGACATCAAATTTTTGTAATAAATGTGAATGCATTTTTGGAACGAGAACATTGWTAACATGTTGCAAAACAAATTTCACKCCGTTGAGATGAACAGTTGTTGGGATATTTGCATGTGAAGAAACAGGAAGTGATGTCAAAGGGGAATGTCTGWATGTAAACAGAGCAATGCTACAACAATCAGAGAATAATCTGATGTTTCTTTAGATTATTTTGAGTCACTATCGGAGTAGAAGAGTTTAAGTAAGATTGTTCAAATAAACAAAGACTAGAGAGTTTTTTCTTTAAGAGTCCCACTTTGATGTCACTTCCTGTTTCACTTTGCTGAGCCAAATTCAAGAGAAAATAGGCCAGTTATGGGACAAAATGTGTAAAATCATGTGCACTATACTAACTTTCTTAAGTATAAATGTTTTCTTTGACTTTTTGTATTTGAAGGATAAGTATGTCACAGTGTTTTTTCAGCTTTATTGTGCTACTTACGTAGCATTTTGCTCCAGCAAAATTTCACTAGCCTTTAGCCATTTACAGCTTTTATTGTGCCTAATTTAGCTTAAAGAACTCAAATTTTAGTAAAACTCACTCAGAGCTCCATTTTGTATTTCCACAGAAAATGTAATTTCGCTAGTTAAAACATATTTAGGTTTTTTAAACATGTTTTTTTTATTATTGCCTCTTTTAGCTTTGTTTTTTTACAGTTTGTCTGAAGTTTTTCTAAATTAAATCATTTTTTGCTCATATTTTACTCTGTAAAACATGATCTTTGACTGATTTTGCTGATGGTTTCTTCACCCTGAGGTCCCGGCAGAGSCTCGGTGCTGTAAAGTGTTTACCTCCTGTCAGAACTGGGCACTTTAATCTGGAACAATTAAAAGTCATTTGATCGTCGTTTGATTGTGGTTTGAGGAGCGACRGAGCTGTGATCCGGCTTCGCAGCGGAGCGTGAAACTTCACTTGTGATTATGCCGCAGGCAGAAATCATGACCTCTTTAGCGGGCCTTAATGAGGCTCTTAAACCGAGCCTAATGACCGTTCTGAGGAGGAGCCGCAAGGAAAGGTGACGACATCTCGTTTTTAAGAGCCAAGAGGCTACCGACCTTCAGGGGACAACACAATCCACGACAAGCCCTAAAATAGTAAACATTTCTTTTCATAAACCTAAAAAAAAAAAACAGAGTGAAGAAAGTTAATTTTCTGGATGCTGTTGCCATGACGACCATTCACAGAAGATGTTCCTGTTTATCAGCAGGGAAAGAAAAGCAGCAGCGAGTCATACTAAACTAAAAAAATAAAGAACATCTTGACCTTCAGTTGTGGAGAAAGAACAAAAAAAAGAGGTTGTTTGTTTGCGACAGTGAGACGGGAAAAGACTTCATTATGGATTTCTTCGTATTTTGTAAAGTTTTGTTTCATAATGTTACAGATGCTGAATAAAGGAGGGAAAAAAACACAAAAATATTTCAAACAAAACCTTTAATTCATTCTAACTTGATAGTTGAAATAAATGAAGCTGGCTGAGTTTTTATTATGAAACCTTTTTCTCCAAACAGGTACTTCAGTTTTTTAACGTTAAAAAAAAAGACATATTTGTTGTTTTGTTTGTGATCGACAGCATCACAGCAGCATCACACATCTCAGCTTTAACGTCTCTGTGTCTGAAAAAAAAATCAATAAGTGAGTGTGTGAAGGTTTTAAATGTTTTAATCAGTTTCCACTGAAAAGACAAAACTTGTTAAATGAGCACTTTAGTTTGAAGTTGGAGTAAAAAAACGTGAGTATAGTTGAATAAAATGTGACTTTATTGTTGTCTCTGTTGAAAGGTTTTTTWCATCCTGAAGCTGTTTTTTTCTGTGTGAACTGTAGCATTTCTATAAAAACACATTGATTTTTTTTTCTTGAAGAATCAAGTTGTTAAAATCCACAGAGTGAAATGAAAACAAACATCAATCTGCTGAGAAGTGCTGCTCTGGATCAGATCTTCACACATGATTTATAGTTGGCAGATTTCCTCTTTAACAGACTAATTAAATAGAAAAAGGTTTCAGGTTTATTATTTCATGTGTTTATGATGACAAATGTTTTTTTACTGAAGAGCTCCAGGCTTCTTTCTCTTTATAATCTGTAACTCCTGATAGTTATGCTAATAACTAACTGCGTTCAACTAATTAATCAAATTTAAATGAATTGTGACATTCCAAAGCAACACGTTATTAAATTCACTCAGCTGCTTCTAGCTATCATTTGTTTCTTTAATTATTTAGCTATTGTTTTGCTATGTTTAGCTAGTATTTTCTGGTTTAAGCTAAACTTTTGCTACTTAAATTAACCTCTTCCTGTTATTAGCGTTTGCTTCATTTATCATAAAGCGAGCATATTTATTAATTTTAGCTTTCACCCCATGTTTTGCTCTTTTGGTTATCATTTAACTGTTTTAGCTAACATTTTGATACTCTCAGCTGACTTTTTGTTTGTTTTAACTAGCTTTGCTCCATTTAATGTTTAAGTGTATTTTATTTTGTTTTGCTGTGCTACTTATGTAGCATTTTGCTATGTTTAGCGTGTATTTTTCTTGTTTTAGCTAACCTTTAGCTACTTTATTATAATTATTATTCATAATTATTAAATTTAGAGACTCAGGAGTAAAACACGTCCTGAAAACTGGCAGACAGACGTGAAACAGTTTCAGTTTATTCAAAGTCTTTATTGAATGAAATAAAGCAGTCGACTCAGATTTAGTTTTACAGTGTGTGGTGCACCTCTTAACCCTCGACACGTTAATAAAACTTCAGAATCAGATTTTCTACATGCAGCATGTCAAAGCAGGCTGAGGTCAAGTTGAGTCTTTGTTCTGCAGATCGGTTTAATCGCTCAAATCATTTGAGAAGAAAGGGAAGCCGTGAGTCAGGGAGATGTTTCTGCCTTTCGTTAAGCTGCCTTTGTGGAGTTTAATCGTTCTTCAGGATTCAGAGAAAGAATGAAACAATCGTCAAGGACGGCTGAGAGATGCAAACATGCTAACTGCTTCTATAGAAAACCAAATCTTTTAATCTTTTTCTGTTAAAAGCAACATGTGGGATCTGGTTTAAGAGCATTCATGTTTTAAAAAGTTCATGTTCTGTCTTGATTAGAAGACACAAAAAGCAGCTAATGATGTCAGCAGAGGTGGTTTCATCCAAATATGGTGAGAACTTGACAAACATCTGGTTGATAAGAATCTGACTTTCATTTGTAGTCAGCAGGAGGCAGTAAAGAGTTTGTTACAAGAAACAACTACAGTGGTTAGACAATGAAAGTGAAACACCTGGTTTTAAACCAGAACATCCCTTTCAGACAGCTTCCTCTTGCATCCACAGTTAATCCTGTTGGATGTGGTTGGTCCATCTTGGTGGTATGCTGACATTACCCTGGATACTGTGGCTCTTGATACATCACAAAGACTTGCTGTCTTGGTCAGAAGCTGCGTTTCCATTGCAAATGTGCGAAAAACTTTGTCAATATTCTGTTAATGTCGAAAAACACAGTTTCGCAACTGCGGTGTTTCCATCAAGTAAGAAATGCTATTAAAGTCAGGCGTGAATACGCTTGTTCTCATGATAAGTCATTACAAACATGGCGGCAACAGATGTAAACACATAGCATGTTGCTACCATGGCACTAGCGCTCATCATCAGAGGAGACGTCAGCGTCTTATCGAGGCTTTCCAGCAACAAGCCTCTTATACTTGGGAGCAGCGTTTTTGGGAAATTGTCGGTGAGTTTACTACTTTCTTTTACAACTTCATTGATACTACTACTACCTCTACTTCCTGTTGTCTTCTTCGTCGTCRTCTTTTTCACCTGTAGAAACAGCCGGTTGTTGATCACGTGAATCCCGTGATGCGAAAAAAGTGTTTCCATTGCAGTTTTGCGAAACACACCAATTTCGATACAGCCGAAAAAACCACCTCATCCTAGCGCAAAAACATTTTGTCGAAAAAAAGGCAGTTTTATCGAAATTGATGTGTTTCCATTGAGCAAATTTATTTTCGAAATTCTAATTTGCGCATTTTCATGTTCAATGGAAAYGCAGCTACAGATGATCCAGCAAGACGTGCACCAAGATTTTGTCCTCTTTTGAACTCTGGTATGTCACCCATAATGTTGTGTGCATTGTATTATTTCGAGCCAAACTGTGCTCTTACCCTGCTAACTGAACCTTCACTCTGGTGCAATGTGCAATAAATGAAGACTGGCCACCAGGCTGGTCCAATTTAGCCATGAAACCTCCCACACTAAAACAACAGGTGTTTCCATTTCATTGTCTAAAGCCTGTACATTTTAACAAGAGCAAAACAAAAATGAAAGCAGCGTTTCATCAAGGAATACATGATGCAAATAAAGACGTCTGGTTTGAGTTTCAGTAAAATGTTGCTAACACCCAAACACAGAGGCAACGACACCTTTCACGGTGGAAGATACAATCTAAAAAAAGTGAAAATAAAACTGGATCATGTGGTACGGACCTTGCTGGCGCCGGGCAGTAGGTGYAGTTTGACATATGGATCTGAGAGCCCGTTGTGGTCCATGGGTTTGAGCCCCTGTTGATGATAAACAGGAAAATTATTAAAAATTTGTTGGTTACAGCAGAGACAGATCAAGAGGTGATTGGAACAAACAAACAAAAAAAAACAAACAAACACATTACTTATTTTTACCAGCACTTTACCAACCATAACAGCTTTTTCAGTATCATGTGGAAATTATGATAATTATACAGATATGAGTGCTGGAGAAAAATCTAACTAAGGTGCATACAATTTATAGTTTTGTATAATTTATAGATATAAATTGTCAGCTAAACTCCGTGATTTGCGATGTTTTAGAGCCAAAAGACCTCAGAGACCCTCCGTGTATCAGAGCAACACCGAGGTGAAAACAGGAACAAACTAAAAAGAAACAAGGTTTAACTTTCTTTTAAGGGCAAATCAATAAACTCAAAGAGGGCAGAGGAAGTAAAGGTCAATCATACAATAACCAAACTAAGGCAGGAACCCCCTGAGTGATGTCAAAGAACCTGCAGAATAAATTCTTTAGAATAAAAACTCCCTGAGAACATCCAGCATGTTTTTCTTTCTGAACCCTTGACTTCCTGTGGAGCTGGAAGTATTTAGACTTCTTTAGAGGTTAGGATTCAGCTGGAGTCTTTCTGTTCACTCAACTCTTATAAAACATTCTCATTATTCAGATGATCCCTTTTTCTTACGCATGTTTTTCGGCACGTATCCCGTTCCACAATGTTTGTGCAATTTCAGCAACTTGTGTATAAAAACATTTAGCTCCTTCAGGACATTCCAGCTATGATTTTGGTGTTTCAGCAATTTATACTGTTTGAGATATTTAGCTTTTTTTTGGCCATTTTTTGTCTTCAATGTCCTTAAAATCTTTCAGAATTTTTCTACTTTTTCTTCACTTTACATTTTTTTATGGTTTTGCTTTTTTAAAAATATTTTTTATGTTAATTTTAGCTTCCTTCAGCTTCTGTTCAGCTTTTTAAGCTATCTTTTTATCTTTTCAGTTATTTTACTAACGTAATTCTTTGTGCTTTTATCAGCCTTTTTTCTGCTAATTTAAGTTTTTTTAAAAAACAAAACTTTATTTTACGTCAGCACACAGTACAAAACAATGACACAATGCAGCTTGCAGGAATTAACATAATGATAATAAAATTAGTCAACAAAGAAAAACCAATCAGGTCAAGATGAAATCAGAAATCTTTTTATGCATCTTTCAGCTGTTTTCTGGAATTTAAGCTATTTTAAGCTATTTTCAGCTAATGTTAACCTTTCAGCTAAATTAAACTTTTGTGATAATTTTAGTTACTTCTTTTAGTTGCTTAATTCAGCTAACACACTCTTTTTGATTCTTTGTGCTAGATTCAGCATTTTCAGCTACTTTTATCTACTTTTCACAATTATTTTGCCATTTTACAACAAATTGCTAAGTTTTGTACACATTTTCTACTTTTTCTGCAAAAATCTTAAGATTTTAAGAATTAGCTTCAGATTCATCACTTTTTAATTTGCCAAACTATGACATCATCTGATAAATGATGGTATTTATCCTTCCTCCTAAAATGGAGCTCAGTTTCATTTTACAGCATTTTGTTGTTGTTTTTTCAACGGATCTGTTCCCAGTGAGCATGTGTGTGTGTGAAAGAAGGTGTGTGTGTGGATCCCCTCCCATCTGCCTTCTGCAGGGGTCATTTTTCTCCAACCCCCAGTAATTATGATCAACAGAGTATTCACAGGGCGCTCGTGCAATCAGCGGCGTGACGCAGCTGCCTGTTCATCCCGGTCCAAGCTCACATAATGTCCTCCATCTTAGCGGCAGCTCAGGTGTTTGCTGAAAGCAACAATAGAAAAGATGAGAGTGGCACTCCAGCCCTCCCCAATCACCCCCCGGGCTGGTGTCGCAGATACTCGTTTGTGTGGAAAACAGAGGGAAAAAAGTGCGACTGAATCTCAGCGAGAAGTAAAAGATTTCAGCTCCCCACGGTGCCTGAATGAAATACAAATTATTGAAGAAAGCTGCAGGAGATGCAACAGTTCAGGGGCATTTTGAGCTGTTTTTCTTTTTAAGCGCTTGTGTGTTTGGATTCCAGTCAAAGCAAATACAAACAGTTTGTTTATTCAGGTTTGATGAATAAAATCAACAGACTGAGGGTGAAGGGTCTCGTTCATCTTCTTTAGCTACATGATGATCTGTAYGCTTGTAAAACTGTGTAGCATTATTGTTTTGTTTATAGTTTCTAGCATTTATTTATTCAGATTTAAGTCGCGTTAAACTCGCCACAAATTTATGCTTAAAAACCTACAATACAACTTTGAATTTCTTTATTTGTTCAGGCATTTTACAGAGTTTCATTCACGGACATTAAAGGGATTATCCAATAGACTTTAAGGTGTCTAATAGTCAGAGGTGTATAAAGTACTTGAAAAAAATAACCAAGTTAAAAAAAACTTTTACAGAAAATCACTTTGGTAAAAATTTATTTCACTGATAAGTACTTAAGAAAAAGTTATAAAACTGCTCACAATAATCAAGAAAGTAAATGCAAAAGTACTTTTATACACACTCCAAGAAATTAAGTGTTAAATTTACTGAACCAAATCGGTTCAACTAAACCAAGTTGAGTAAATGTAAAGCAATTTATAAAGTTTCTTTAAAAATAAAATGTAAATTGCTCAACTTAATTTAGTGAAACCAATTAAAGTAAATTCAACAAATCATTTTTAGAGTGCATAAACAACTCCTCATGATGAGTTTTGGATAAATTTAATTTTGTAACGAGTAACTAGGTGTTACATTTAAAGTAAAGAAGTAAAAATATCATTTTTAGGTTTTAAATGTAACCAAATAAAAGTAACGATTTAAAACAACACAAATACTCAAAATTTACTCTAATGAAATAAATG